CTTTGTCATCACACAACTAGTGGGCTGAGGTCCTTTTCTCTCTTTGTGAAGGGTTTATCCTGCATAAACTTTCAACAAGGCGTTTATTTGCTTCCTTAGCAAACTATAATTTTAGGGCGACCATTGTTCAATGTGGGATTGTTCAGCCTGGAGAAGAGAAGGCTCCGGGGAGACCTTACAGCGCCCTTTCAATACCTGAAGGGTGCCTATAGAAGAGCTGGGGAGGGACTCTTCGCCAGGAAGGGTAATGATAGGACAAGGGGAAATAGTTTTAAATTGGAAGAAAAAAGATTCAGATTAGATCTCAGGAAGAAATTTTTTACTATGAGCGTGGTGAGACACTGGAACAGGTTGTCCAGGGAAGTTGTGGATGCCCCATCCCTGAAGATGTTCAAGACCAGGTTGGATGGGGCTTTGAGCAACCTGGTCTAGTGGGGGGTGTCCCTGCCCATGGCAGGGGGGGGGGAACTCAGTGATCTTTCTCAGGGACCATTCTATGTTCCAAGACACCAGATTGCAGATCTGGAAGGCAAGGACAGGGCGCCGCTCTGACACCTCAGTCCAGCCCAGACCAGCCACTGTCAGATTCACAGACTTAGGCAACGTGCACAAGGATCAGGCCAAGATACCCTGATACTTAGTTTTCATTATTCTTTCTATAGATATAGCAGGGTACAACAGAGAAGTTTCTGACTTTCACAAGGACCCTAAAAGGTGTCTTTGATAACCTAAAAGCTTATTATTATAGCTCAAGCCAAATGGCTATCATGAGTAGAACACATCATTACCGCATGTACAAGAAGTGGTGCTACACTACCCCTCTCGCCACCTCTCAAGGCTTTTGCACTTTCTAAAACATACTTTTCGTGAAGTTTCCATCTTCAGAAATGTTTTGGATGTAACAAGTAAAATAACCCCAAACCCTGTTTCTAAGATGTTCTGAAAGGCCACATTTTCTCCATATTCTGTGCTGTAAACCCAAGAGATGAATATAAATGTAGTGATCAAGTTAGCCAACTCCATAAAACAGCACAACTCCTGCAGAGCTCAAAGCTATTGCCGCAACAGTCCCAGATGACTACAGTTTGGCAAAAGAATATGGTCTTTAAAAAAGCATACAAAGACAACACGTGTGTGGAAGAACAGTAAAATGGATTAAGAAGTAACAACCACCTGACAACGAACATCAGGTAACACAATCATGTTTTTCAAATTACCTTAAGCACTTCAGTTTTACAAGGACCCCAAAAAGGGTTTTTCTTTTTCCTTTCTTCTTCCCTACCCACCTACCCTCCTTCCTACCTAGGGCAGAAAGCCTACTTTCTACCACGGCAGCAGCAGGTGACAAGGGGTGGAGAACAATGATGAGTCCCAACACCGTACCACAGAACATCTTCCACAAGCATTGCTCCAGCTCCTTCACACCTCTGAGATCCTGAAACACTGGCACAACCATGAAAATGCTAGGAGGCAAGGGATCACCAGCAACTGAAGGTATTTTTAAACACTTCACCATAAGAAAAACAAAATAAATCACTTTGCTATGTTTTATTTAAGTAGCAAGTGCATCTTTATCTTATAGACTGAACATGTCTGCTGTGTGTTTTTGGACTTTGTTTTTCCTGCAGCTGTTTTTAATATTCATACCTCTCCTCTCTTCCAAGAGTGGAAAGATACTGGAAAACAAATCCAAAAGAACAGAATACACAAAAATAATTTAATTCTGGGTTATTAATATTTTCAGTATCTTCATTAACAAAGCCCTTTACACAGGTGGCTTGAAAACATCACAAGCACGGATATAGTTCTCTGTGTTCAGAACCTCACTGTTGTTATTAGCCAATTCCTTGCTTTTGTGAACTGGCATGAGAAACCAGGAGTTTCAGATTTTCATGGTAATAAAAACATTTTAAAAACAAGACAAGAAAGGGCTTTTAAGAGAAAAAGAAACTTCTGTAACACATTCTTTTACAGTTTGATTATTGAGTTGGAAATTTCCAAACAAATTTTTACTACAGTATCTCAAGATTAACCACTTAAACTTCTGCTGAAGTTATACAGCACAGTAATTTTTTTCCCCATATTCACTACTACGGGCATATCATCCTCATATTGAAACTTCATCAGGTATGGAAGCTACAGAACTAAGAAAAATGGATCCGCTTATTTCTAACAGCGTTCCAGTAATATGTCCGTATAAAAACCAATGAAAACAACACTTAAAAGAAGTTGAGAACTATGTGTAGACCTCCAATTAAGAATGTTTTTTAAAAGGATTAAAAAAAAAAAAAAGTCCATCACAAAGCATGACAAGACTGCATTAGAGATTACTCACAATAGTTAGTTTATGTACAATACATTTTTAATAAAAAATTCACTTCTTCCAGTCATAGTTCTAACTTCACTGATAAAAGAATACATTTTTGCCTTTTAAATCAGGAACAATAAAAAAAAAAAAGTCAATGAATCAAAAATATCAATGCTGTCAAGATGTTATGGTTAAAGGGTACACTAAATTCACCATAGATGGCACTCTGTCTATCCTACATTTCCCCCACTTTTATCACTCACATGTAACTCCATCTACATTGTTAAAAAGTTAAAATATGCCACTATGAGGGCCACTCATTCTCAGTGAATACCACTGCATAAATATACTTTATCAGGTTTTCTCCCTCCCATGAAGAGTAACTAGGAACTAAGATTGTCTTTATGAGCTTCTTGCATAAGATAATCACTGTCAGAATCCAAGTCATCTTCATCTACCGGTGTTTCTTCTGCCAAGCGTTTCATGCCCCGCTGTTGAGAAATGGCCAATGCATATTTAATATTGTAGATATTCCATTCACAGCTGTAAAAATAAATAGCAACGTTAGAAACAAGATTCCATTTCTCTCCCAAAATAAAAACATCTCTAAAAGAAAACCATCTCAAAAGTTCTAATACCACACTGTCATCCCCCAAATTATTACACTCTTTTTAACAGGGTTTTGATTTAAACTTAAATATAACAGTACATACAGTTTGGAAACATCTTCAAAATGGCGTTGGATGCTCTTCTGAAGAAACTGAATCACAGGGAGCAGCTTCACTGACCTTGAATGGAGAAGATGTGCAACCGTCAGTACCATTGATATTTACATATGGAAATCTAGAACTTTTCTGTATCTCAAAATTTTAACAAGCATTCATGTTAACTTTTAAATATGAATGTTGTAAGATAATACTAAATAAACGAAAACTTTTTGTTTTGATTCTGCCCTCAATGATTATACAAGTAGCATTATTGCCAGAAATAGTTTATTTTTTTTTTTTTATGTCAAACTGCAACTTGAAGAACTAACTCTGCTTGTTGTAACGATGACAGTTCCTTCCAGGTACTACAATACTTTACGATCAAGGAAAAGTTTGTTTTAAATCGTCCTCATCAGCAACAAAAGGAGAAAATTTGTTCCAGTCATTTCCATAACTAAAACATTAAAATCCATTTTGAAACAAGGATTTACCCAATGCACTGTTTCTTTAACCTGCAGGACTCCCTCTCAGATTACCTCTTATTCAGTTTATTTTGAATTTGTAGATTTGCGTCTTTTTGTTCCCTAGAGTCTATAAACTCCATACTTTAGGGGTGGGCTGAACATAATTCGTATGGCAGGCACGTGTGGTTGTAAAGAACTATGTAGGAAAGCAGAATACTAACAAGCTAAAAGCCTGTGCTGTAATCACAAGCCAAGCCTACAAAATGCAGTCGGTACCTCCGCATCATCTTTCAGTAACATTTAAGATGTATAATTGTTTAAAACCACAATTGCCAAAATCTTATCACTCTTGAAATCTTTATGCATTTACAGGGTAAGCAAGTGATGCAGTTTTACCTGTAATATTTGGAAAATGTTTTTTGCAATTTATCCCCACAAATTCTATCACACACACACTTGTTAGGAAAGAAGGGGTATTAAATTAAAATGTAGATTTTATAAATAAATGTAAGGATTTAAATACTATTAAATGTACATGCAATAAATGTAAATTAAGTAGTTTTAATTGTCCTATATGCTTCTATCTAGAATGTCAGAAACTACTAAATAAAAACCTCAAACTGACGGGTAGTATAAAATGCTTGTCAGCTTTTTGACTTTCACAAGATCTCACACCTTGTTTTCAGTTTCTGTCCATGCAGCATGAGCAACTTATGAGCCCAAATAAGATAGAACTCTAAATGACAAGATGTCTCAAATGCAGAGGCCAGGAACTCCAATACTTTCTCCACGTACAGGTCTGGGAGTGACGAGCAGACAACATCAACTGTGCAGGAAGAAAAAAAGCCCATAGACATTAAGCACTGAATTACTATAGGGAATAACATGAAAGATACCACAGCAAAGCATATAGGGAAGGTGAAGAAAGCACCATCTTGGTGACTTTTTGGTATTTAATATCGTATTCAGGATACAGTACCACAGTCTCTCAGGAGGCAAGTCTTTCCTCTTTGAACCACCCAATCACTACTGTATTTAAAAGCAAGAACTTCCCCCCTCCCCAAGTTCCTCCTCCTACCAGAATGCTCTCCCCACCTTCTCTCCTTCAGAAAAACTACTTCCACCCTCTTTTCCTCTTTTGGTGTAACTAGATTTTACTGAAAATCTAGTTCATTTTGTTGGTTCTGAAATCATATGAATTTCTGTATTGAGTGGAACTAGTTAAGCGTAATAATCAGAGGCAATAAAGGATATTTATAAAGACAACAATGTCACCTGCTGACAGAGGAAGTGTCTGAATGCTGTTAGTAATTCCAGAGCACAAAAAGGCACGATTTATAAGCATTCAAAATAATCTCACATATAACTATGATGACCTCATTATATATAATCCTCTCTCAAAAATAACCACCTCCTGTTCTCTGCAGCCACCCTGACGGACCTAAGTAACACATTCAACTGTGACAAAAGCTTTCTACGTTTACAGAAACGGGCACACACTCATTTGTTAGCAGTGCATTAACGTACACTAAATGTCCTCTGCATCTGAGGTTTTGCCACCTGCCTACTTACCCAGTCTTGCCTGCATACGTGGAGCTTTGGTTAACTTCAGTAAAAGAGAGCTAAGTTTTGCCAGACAGAGGCAAACACCGTTGTGCCAAGTGTTATGCAAAAGATGATTTACCCTGACGTGCAATTATCAGGCTTGCTACCTAGGGACTAAGGTAAGAAAATCCTACAAAGCGTTTGGCTGGCAACACATCTGATTTTAGACCAGAGCATGTTTTCACTAGATAAAAATAATTTGTATTTGTTACACATGAAACACTGGAAGGAAATCATTACCTTTCACTGGGGTAACAACGGTGAGGTAAAGCTAAAAAAAATCCTTTAAGGTTACTATGACAAATTATGAAGTTAAGTAGAATACGCTACTGGAAGCTTATTTTTAAGGTTGTGTCTACCCATATATAGCTAATGTATGTGCACTTTAGTTTTCAAAATGATGAAAAGGGTGCCAAAGAACCTCCAAAGCTAAGTGACATCTTACCTGTTCCTTTTGTTTCTGACTTCACAATTTTGAAAGTACCTGTCTCTTCTTAGAAAAAGCTTGGCACTTAACTGTTTGGTTTGTGTGAACACAGCTTCCTCTAAGAACCATATTTACTTTTGTTTAGAGATGAATTTAACAACCACTATAACTAAAGGAACAAAAACCATCACAACTTCTGAGGGCTGACAGTTGTAGAATTGCTCTGAATTTTGGCAGTCCAAAGCAACATAAATTTAGAGCATTTGCCACAGAGCTTTATCCAGTTGAATGCTGAACACTTGCAAAAAAGGAGACTTCCACTACCTCCCTTGTCAACCTGCTGTAGTATTTGATTACCCTCAACATAATAGTATTGTTTTTAATATCTAGTTTTAATTTCCCATGTTGCAAGAGGTTTGCTGCCTCTTGTCACATCATTGTGCAACTCAAGATCTGGATCTGCCTTCTTTCTAAAAACCCATTAGGGACTTGAAGACAATAAAAATACTCCCCTTCCCTTCCAAAACCCGAGCCAACCCAGGTATCATAAGCCTCTCCTCAGCTGTTATGCACTCTGGCCCTCCAAACCTTTTCCAAGACCTCCACCGGATGCTCCAGAGTGGAAACTGAAGAGACTCCAGAGTGGAGACATAGAGAAGAATAACCACTTTCCTTGAACTGCTGTCTACATCCTTGATAGTTCAGCCCAGTATCCAGTTGACTGCCTTCATCACCCAGGCACACTGCTAACTCATGTTAAACTTGCTGTGACACTGTAACATCAGCTGCTTCTGAGAACTGACACCCAAAAACTTTACCTGTGTATCCAGATCTGATCAAAGTCCATGTTTAAAAGTCACTAGACAAGCATGCAATAAAATTAAAACCTAAGTTAAGATCAAAAAGTCTACTTGTTTTGGCAAAAGATCATCCCTTCCTCTTTAGTCTTCAGCTACAGTAGAAAGTCCTTAAATATCAATGTCATAAACTCCACTCCCAGCTAAGCTCTGCCCTTTATGCTTCAACTTATTTAGCTTACACCTCTGCTTACAGCTGGCTCAGTCAAATTTCATGGAAGATCCACTTACCTTCATTGCTAGGTACAGCCTCTATGACCTCCTGAATTAATTTCTTTTCATTCAGCTTGAAGGCCATGATGATAGCCATAGTGTATTCCTTCTGATGCAGTGTTTTGTGTATATTGCTGGGGGTGATATCAATATCCAGCTCAAAAGGATCAAAAATTAACCCAGAGTCTAGTGAATAGATAAGAAGACCCTCTGTGGTGGTGGCTGCCCAGCTTCGTCCTAGAAGAAAAGTAACAGTATTTAAGGACGCAGCAAGGTTTTCTAGGATGGAAACAGAAGAGTAATGATAAACAGATGACTCTTCACTGCTTACAAGTAGTGGAGAAGACTGAAAAACACACATCATCGATGGACCTGACAGCAATGACAATGCTTGTTAAAAATACCAGCTGAAAGTGATGCACACTTCGGTTTTCTAACTATGCACTGCATGGAAGACTAGATTAAAAACGTAGCAGCGTTGTAGAACATCTGGAGAGACATCTCCAAGGCATTTGTACTTCATTATTACTCCTCCTCTTGCTTGTTTTATGTGGAATAAAAAACAAATCCTACATTTATTGTCCATACTCACCTGTAGGAGAGAATCGCAGGCAAGTCACTCTTATTTCTGGTTTAAAGTGTCGATAACTCATGTCACCTAAAGAAGAAGTTTAGAAGTGATTTAATGTATTTACCAAAAGTTCACGATTTGGCTATCATATGCTCTTATCATGATGCTGAAAAATAATGCAAAACATGCCAAAACTTGGCAGAGTTAAAGACAGGGTAAAGGACAGCCCAAGTTCAAAAGCTCTTACAGCTAAGTAAGTGGTGAAACCGAATTTTTCTCTTTGAAAATGAAATCAGGACTGATGGGTTCCATACCCAGTAGAGCCCACAGTACCTCCTGGTTCCTGTTACTTCTACTGTGCAAAAGGACCTACCACACATGAGCTACACTTGGGTAACAGATCCCTGTGGCTACAGAACATTCAGGTAATCCTAACTTCAAAACTGAGCTGAACAATTCAAACCCTTCTTATCTGGTATCAACTCTGGGTCAAAAGTTTTCATCCACATAAAACCAATAACAAGACAGCAAAGCCAAAAGCCATACCTGTTTTTACTCCAGGAAGAGGAATAGCAACACCTTCTTCACCTCCACCCCCTTCATCAATCAGAGCCATGCTGCCAAATTCAGTCATTTTTCTCCGATCCAAGTATTCCTAGATAAACACGTAAGTTCAATTCACTGCACTCAACCTCCTATCAAACATCTGTATGAATTAAAAATTCTCAATAGCATCCAGGAGTTATCTAGTTATTCTTTCTTTGCATTTCCTTCCAAAAGTTCCTCCAAAATCAAGGAGAAAACTGTTGATTTCATAACAGCAGGCAACAGCATCCAACCACAGATAAGAAACAGGCTGCTTCAGTCTTAAGGCTTCAGAGCAGCACAACTCAGTTGAAGACTGCAGTTTCATATTATTGTAATGTTGTTCTGCTTGAGACACACCATTTCCTCAGATGCAGCTCTGCTCTTCCTCTCCTTCAGGTTCCATAACTACCTTATGCTAATGTAAAGGCTGAGTAGCCAAACACCTACGCAGTGTTTTTGGGACCTCCCTGCCCCTCATTTTTAAACACCCATCCCCTCCAGGATTCTTTTCCAG